TGAAAAACTAATACAATGTTTATAAAATAAGAATGTGGGAAATTAATACAATGTTTATGAAATGGGGCATGAAAAATTAATACAATATGATTTGTTGCATGAAAAGTTAATACAATGTTTATGAAACACAATATGGAAAATTAATATAATGTTTATGAAGCGGCACATAAAAAGTTAATACAATATTTATGAACTGTTGCATGAAAAGCTAATACAATGATTATGAAACTCGATATGGAAAATTAATACAATATTTATGAAATGGGAGATGAAAATTTAATACAATATTTATGAAATGATGCATGAAAAGTTAATACTCTGTTTATGAAACTCGATATGGAAAATTAATACAATGTTTATGAAATGCGACATGAAAAGTTAATACAACATTTACGAATTTTTGTATGAAATGTTAATACAATGATTATGAAATGTTGCATGAAAAGTAAACACAATATTTATGAAATTCGATATGGAAAATTAATACAATGTTTATGAAATGGGACATGAAAATTTAATACAATATTTATGAATTACGATATGGAAAATTAATACAAGGTTTATGAAATGGGATATGAAAAGTTAATACTATGTTTATGAAATGTTGCATGAAAAGTTAATACAATGTTTATGTATGCCGATATGGGAAATTAATAAAATGTTTATGAAATGGGACATCAATGTTAACCCAATAAATTATAAAATACGATATGGAAAATAAATACAATGTTTATGAAATGTTGCATGAAAAGTTAATACAATGTTTATGAAATGGGTCGGCAAATCATTCGACCCCCGCTGGCCAGATCGTGTTATAATGACGGGTTGCGGGCCGGACGAAGGCCATTAGTGAAAAATTAAGGAAAATTACATATGCAGACCCCTGTCAACCTAAATATTTAAAACCATAATGAAAATAAACATTAAGAAATCAGAAAAACAAAAAAAAATTCTAAAATTAAAAAACACCTAACAAAAATTACTTTTCCTCAAGGAACGTCAAAATACTTCAAAGTGAAAAAAATCAGCCGAAGTGAAATGGATGAAATTATGACGTGTAGGTTTGAAACTGTTATTGAAAATTTTTCCACAAACAGACCACACACACATTAAACAAAAATGAAGCACATATACCCATACATACGAGTACAAATAGTTGCAAACATATACACTTACGTACGTACACATGCGGTATCATCCACACATTCATGAGGCATGTATGTATGTTTAACTGTCTTTAGATTTCTGCTAACTCGCATGTCAGTCCCTCCCTGGCCTCTTTCAGTTTATCGTTCCTTTCGCTTCTGTTATCTTTTAATGTAGCCAAGGGTCATAACAAATATGTATCCATTATTTGACATTAAACGTAGGCAACGCAACTTGGTAAAATAAGACTCATGAAAGATAACTGGCAGATAGTCTAATATTTTTAGTGCACTGAGATGTGTAGACAGTCTATGGAAAATGACATATAACAAATTTCATTTGAAGGTCGTCTCTTATGTTAAAAATAGAGTCATTGGTAATCAGGCTCGCGGGCCGGTCAAAAGGCCTTCGCGGGCCGGATCCGGCCCGCGGGCCGTAGGTTGCCGACCCTTGATTTATGAAATACAATATGGAAAATTAATACAATGCTTATGAAATGTTGCATGAAAAATTAATACAATGTTTATGAAATGTTGCATGAAATGTAAACACAATGTTTATGAATACGGTGTAGAAAATTAATACAATGTTTATGAAATGGGACATGAAAAGTTAATACAATGTTTATGAAATGTTGCATGAAAAGTTAATACACTGTTTATATAATACGATATTGGAAATTAATACAATTTTTATGAAATGGGACATCAAATGGTAACGCAATGTTTATGAAATACGATATGGAAAATTAATACAATGTTTATGTGATGGGACATGAAAAATTTATGAATTTATGAATTGTTGCATGAAACGTTAATGCAATGCTTATGAAATGGGACATGAAAATTTAATACAGTGTTTATGAAATCGGGCATGAAAAGTTACCGCAATATCTATGAAATACAATATGGAAAATTAATACAATATTTTTGAATGTTGCATGAAAAGTTAATACAATATTTATGAAATACGATCTGGAAAATTAATACAATATTTATGAAATGGGACATGAAAAATAAGTATAATATTTATGAAATGGGACATGAAAAGTTACCACAATGTTTATGAAATACGATATGGAAAATTAATACAATGTTTTTGAAATGTTGCATGAAAAGTTAATACAATGCTTATAAAAAGTTGCATGAAAAGTTAATACAATATTTACGAAATACGATCTGGAAAATTAATACAATATTTATGAAATGGGACATGAAAAGTAAGTATAATATTTATGAAATGGGACATGAAAAGTTACTACAATCTTTATGTAATGTGACATAAAAAGTAATTATAATATTTATGAAATAGGACATGAAAAGTAATTATAATATTTATGAAATGGTACATGAAAAGTAAGTAAAATGTTTATGAAATATGTCATGAAAAGAAAAAACGAATACTATGTTTATGAACAGTGAAAAATATGTGAACCTTGATGAAGTCCTCTAGACGCTTACGTTACATGTAGAAGGGAAAAGAGAATGCTTATTTTCCTTTAAGTAGACATATATGATTTTATTTTCTTAAACAATGAAATTTCAAGTGGACTATATTTATTTCACGGTTAAAAAAATGAAAAACGGATAAAAACTCAAATACGTGTAGCCACTACTAGATATAACACTTTTAGTTATAGGAAATAACGTCGAATTAAAAAAATAATCTATTAATAAAAATTTAAAATATATATGTATGTGTGTGTGTGTGTGTGTGTGTGTGTGTAGGGTCGGTACAAGGTTTTTTTCTATGATAGGCCCCCCTGAATCTATGAGATGGGGTCGTCCACTCTACTACATCTCAATTTTAATAAGGTAGTATTCATATAAAATACAAATTTTATTGTAGCCTAATTATGTACAATAACGAATCATATGCAATATATGTGAACAATTCAACTAGAAAAATTGAAACAATGTACCTAAATTCAAATTAGAGATTATTCCATCTTAAAATAAATCAACAATATTTTACGTCAGTTTTTAACATCAATTTGCGATTTTCCTTGTTAAAAAGTTGAATATTTAACACATTCGGCATTATGGATAAAAAATAGTGTATTTTATATTATATAGTCGGTGGGTTTTTTTTTTTCTGCGAGACACGAACAAAACAAATTTACGGATTTGGATAAAAAAAAAGCCGCAGAATGACGTCAAAATCGGCGAAAATTCTTCATCAGCAGTCAGTTGTGCTCAGTTAAATTTGTAACGCATTGTAGTTACAAAAAATTTTGTTACAAAACACTGCCTGGCACCCCCAATCAGGCTTATCCCCATATTCAGGGGGTTCAGGGGGTAATACGCATCTGCACTGTATATAAGTATGTAGATAGATAGATAGATAGATAGATAGATAGATAGAAAGAATTAAATGGCTTTTTTTAATCGGATATTTTCTTCAAACTTTATCTACTATAATAATCTTTTATAACAGTGTAAGCCGGATATAAGAGACCCGGATATAAGAGAAACCCGGATATAAGAGAGATTTTCTCTGGTCCCAAATTAGAGCCTGTGTTACCTAAACAAAATAGACCAAACCCGGATATAAGAGACACCCGGATATAAGAGACTTCTTCTCCGGTCCCGACAACTCTCTTATATCCGGGTTACTATATATATATATATATATATATATATATATATATATATATATATATATATATATATAATTAAATAAAAATTTTAATGACATCTTCCGACTCGGAGTTTCGCAGAGATGCCCACATGTCAGCGATAGCATAAATAAATCTGTTACTTAATAGCTATTTATTATAATTATATTACATTATAGTATTACCTGTATTAGTTTATTATATGTATATATACGTTTATATCGATTTTAGAATACTCCATATGTTTGTGCATGCGTGTGTGTGTGTATGCGTGTGTGTTTAACTAGTTATGTCTTTCGTTCCAAGGTAGGGTTGTTACGAATCACAATATATTACAGTACACTAAATGATTTTCTATATTGTAAATCATCATAATCGACAAATGATGGTTCTATATTTGTAGGCTTTGTTCAAGTCACCATACTTAAACACACTTAAACCAGTTTTACGCAGGTCATTCAACAAATAAAATATACACAAGAAGTAATTTCCACTCTAAGTGTATGAATAGTTTTTTAATTAAAATAAATTTATTTTAAAAAAAAAATGAACATTTCATTTTATATTTATCTTTTGATAAGAAAAAAGATACAAAATATTCAATTTAAAAGCGGTTAAAACATTATTCAAAAGTGCACTTTTTGTTCCTCATAATGCAGAGACGAATTTCACCAAGCCGACACTCATGACTAACACACATAACTAGTGCTAACCTTGATAAACGATACGAAAGTGCTTCACTGGGCTCTGAATGAAGTAACAATATCTCCAGTAACAATAACATTGACGATTAAAAGTGGAATTTGAAAATTTAACTATAGAAGTTTGTTTTTCGTTATTTTTTTAATCAAAATTTTGATACACAATTTAATTTTTGAATTCATGAAGGAAACTAAAAAAAAAAAGAATTATTATTAATGCAAGCGTTAATGATAGACTTGGTTGGTGCTTATTTGTTTGTTATAATTAAAAAATATTCTATTTATAACATACGATAAGTGTTTTTGTTTTTATCCTTTACGCGCGTGTGTGTATGTGTGCGTGTGTGTTGATTTTTTTAACGTCATCGTTTAAACAAAATTGTTGCTGAAATGTTAGTGATAGGGTGGCGGTGGTGGTGTCCAAATGTAAATAAAAACGTGGATAAGCAAGCAAAACTGACATTGCTGCAACAGTATTGATGTAGTAAACTAACTTGGCTTTCTTAGAAAAAGAAAAACACAACTTTTCTTCAAAGATGACTTCCGTCGAAGAGCTCGTGTTTTATGCAAATGGAAAGAAAGTAAGTGACGTTTTTACCGTTTTACGTTTTGGTTTTAAAAAGGATTTTTTAGTTCTTTGACAATCCTTTGAATTACTTAACTTTTGTTATTTTCTTTTTATTGTATTGTAAAAGTTTCGGATCAGCGAGCAAAGACAGATAAAAATATCTGCGTGAATGCACTCTACCTCCATGTTTTGTTTTTAAAGAAAAGTTGTTTTTTTTTTTATCGAAGTATTGAACAACTTGAGAACAGAACAGTCTAACAAAAAAACGTTGTTAAAAATTGTTTGGGTTCATCATATTTATTTACAATTACTTTTTTTTACTCTTCCGTAAATTCTTCTTAAACACTGTAGTGCAAACTAAAACGCTTTTTCAATGAAGTTATTTCTTAGGTTTTCCAGATGTTGATGGTCGGATTCTCCTCTATCTTACATTGAAAATCATCATAATCGAAAAATGATGGATATACACGACTTGGCCTAGGTTTTATTTCAAGGGACAAGACACAACCTTCAAAGAACAAATCAATTTTTAGCAGATTGTTCAAATAGTGCTTCTTTTCTTTCAACTTAATCTCAACATAACAAGTTTCTTTTTAGTTAGTTGTATCATATCAAAAAATGAATAAATGTACTGCTGAATAATGTTGATTACGTTTAATAATAATAATAATAATAATAATAATAATAATAATAATAAAAACTTAAAGAAATAAAAAAAAAATTGTAATCATAAGTACAGCCTATATACCTTACGAAAGGCTTTATGTGTGATCTTCTTAGGGTTTTGGGGGTTTTTGTTTTTTTCTCAAAAAATGTTCAGTAGAAAAATGTCATGTCATCTCTGAGGTCTCTTGTTGAGACCTGGAATGAAATAAGTATACAGCAGAAATCAAAGGATATATAATAATAATAATAATAATAATAATAATAATAATAATAATAATAATTTTTAATTTACCTATCAAGGACGGCGCATACTACACACACACATCGACTGGGGAAAGCCTGATGTGATGGGGGCGGACAGTGCTTTGTGACCCTCACTATCTTATTAACATTTTATTTACATTCATATACGTTAGAAATTAAACTAAGCACAAGTGACTCTTACTTAATTAAAGGATTTATGGTTGAATTGCATATGATCCATTATAATTATGTTACAATAAAATTTTTATTTTATATAAATACTACCTACTGAGATGTCGTAGAGTAGTGGGATGGAGCATATACAGATTCGCTGGGGTTGGGCTTGAGGTCCTTGCACTAGTCCTGCTTATTGTATTTTTTTAGCTTCAGTATAATTGCATATTATAATCATTGCTTTTCAAAAAAGATTTCAACAAAGTTTTCTTAATATAAACAAAACAGAAATATAAATATAAAATATCTTATAAAAAAGAATATATATATATATATATATATAATTCCAATATATATATATTCATATATATATATATATATATATATATATATATATATATATATATATATATACATTATAAATTTCAAATTATAAAGGTTAATTATAATATAAATGACATTAACAAAATTTTTTTTACTAAAAATACTTTGGAAAAAGTGAAAAGATTATTTTTAAAACAGGGTAAACAATTAATTTTAAAATATTATATTTTATGGTTTATTATTAATTTAAAATTCTTTTAAAACATTTTTAAGTTGTTATTAATCTATAATTATTTTAAGGTATTTAAAATTACTATTTATTTAAAATGTTTTTAAAACATTTAATTCAAAATTATGTACTTGTATAAGTAAATACATAAATATTTTAAAAACGTTTTCTGAAATATTATTATTAAATTATATTGTATTATATTTCTTTTTCATTAATGTTTACAGTATTCATAACCCATTTTTTTTATCCAAATCTTGATTTGTTTAATTTTAGCTTTTCGTTTTTACGACATTTTTATGGGATTCTAGACGTGTCTTCTTCCGTCAGCCATTAACTGGAGAGTTTGTGCCACAATTGCTGTAATTTCGAGCAATAAATCTCGAGTTTATTTAAAACTACTACTGCTAAGACTAGTAGTAATTATTACTAAGTAAATAGTATTATTTAACAATGCAAAATGTCTGATTAAACGTAGCGTAAATATAAATTTAAATATAAATGATGTAGTAAATTATATTTTTTATAAGTTATGAATTTTTCGAAGGTCTGATTATTTTGTATGACTTTTGACGTAACTATAAGGAAGCTATGATTACAGATGTATGCGCTGAATGTAGTATAAACAATGATTTTACGAATCTTTGGTTTCCAGGAATTTTTTAACAATACATTTCTTTCTATAAATTGAGTAAATAGATAGTGGAACAAGGTTTAGGAGAAATAACAAAAAAACAAAATTTATTAAGAGCTACAGAGGACAGGAAATTGTGGAGAGCCATGATCGCCTACATCCAGAAGGAACATGGCACATAAAGTAGAAAATGAGCTTGAGTAAATAGAAAGCGGAACAAGGTTTGGAAAAATAAGAAAAAGACAAAATTTATTAAAATCTAATGAGGACAGTAAATTGTGGAGAGCCACGATCGCTTCTGTCCTGAAGAGACATGACACATAAGAAGAAATATCATCATCCGCCCTTTGAAATGTCTCCTTTTGTTCTTGTCCTTAATCCTGCAGGGTGTATAGCCACTCTCCTCCCCATAACAGCCTGTTGAATGAGTGCGAGAGCAGTATGCCAACCAAACGACGCTGGGGTACAAATATACGAAGCCCATGATGGGTATATACCCACCATGACACCCAGTTTGATCGCAGCCAACCTTGCAGGCGGGACCCAGTTGGAAATACATTCATGTCAGGTAACCTAATCCACTGAAATGGTTTCTGATTAAGCATATTCACATGTATCTGCGTGTGACTCGTCAAAGTAGTCTTGACTTCCTGATCCTTCAAACTTATATGTAACACCTGGCCATGATTCTCTTTCCACTAACACTGCTCATCAACAGAGAAGTACAGTGCGACAGACACTAAACAACAAGCCCATTTTAATTTACCAAGACAAAAACATGTACATATTGACATCTCCAATCATTTAAGATCAGAAGCCATAAGAGCCATGCCTGATGTAGCATCATAGCATTTTATTATTGTTTTTTCACACAAGTTTTTGAATACACAGTATATATTAGGTTACCTGTCAAGTCACAACAAGGACCTCAGATAGACAACACTGTCATTAAAATATGCGCAGTACCCAAAATAGCTGGTTTTTTGGATGAAGTTTGTATTGTATCTCTAGCTGGTCAAGGGAGTCACATAGTTTTAATGAGATTGATCCAAGTGTGCCAATCACCACTGGAATGATCTTGACGTTCTTTTCCTACAATCCAAACAATCTTACTATCTCAACTTTCAAGTAAGAGTAGTTTGCTATTTTCTCAACCACCTTGTTTGCTATATAGGTGTCAATTGGTATGACAACTACCAATAATATGACAGTTCTTGGTGTCTTTATGTAGCATAATAATATCCTGGCGGCCATGGTGTATTACTCTGTCTGAAAATCATAGTCACAGAATATTGAGGGCTTTCCAACTTTTGTCATTTGTTCTACTAGGCACAGGCTCGTACCAATTTTTCTGCAACTTGGTATCCATTCTTTCGACGCAATTATTATTATTATTATTATTATTATTATTATTATTATTATTATAGGTTGAGTACCTTTATCCAAAATTCCAGAATCCGAAAACCTTCAAAATCTGAAAGTTTTTCAGGTGCTGACATGACTTGCCACAAATGTAATATTTCAGAATGCAACATGGCTACCCGTAGCATAATTATTGCGTTACAAATAAAATGCTGACTTTTTCAGTTTTCATTAAATTTAACTGTAATCAGAATCCATGTTTTGTTTTTATACAAATGCTGCACTTGTATGTATTGTAATATTTTAATCAAAACACGACATCGTTGGTAGAGACTGATAGCTAACTGAATTTTACTTCTCCCACTGACAGTGATGTCCTCGATGATCAACCCTCTCCCTCAAGTTTCTCAAACTTGATGTAGAAATAGTGCTTAGTGTTGCATTTATATATTTTTTGTAAGTAGTGATCATGTGTTTTTATACACGTACAAAACATTATTTTTACGTGAAATCTTAATTTCACCATTTAAAATTCCGTGTAAGCATTACATGACTAGCATCATGTATCTGCATATACATAAAATTTATTAAATTTTATTTACAACTACCTTCAGAGTATATGTATTTTATTTTATTTTATTTATTTACAACTACCTTCAGAGTATATGTATAAGTTGTTCTATGAATTGTAAAGGGATATCGTGTTTATGCTTGGGTCTCATTTCCAAGCTGCCCCATTTTTTTTATGTGCCATGTCCTTTCAGAACGTAGGCGATCGTGGCTTTCCACCTCCCTCTACCTCTTGCATCTTTCAACAAGCTCCTTCCCTCTCCTTCCTCGACCAGACCACGTTCTGTCGTCCACCTGCTCAAGTTCGACAGGTATGTCACGCACTGCTTTCCTTTGTCTCTCTTTCCCTCTATTTGACTCGTGAGTATCAGATTCTCCAGGCCCGTCTTCCTCATTAAGTGTCCCAGAAACTTCAGCTGCCTCTTTCTGATGTTAGAGATGCTACATACAAATTAAATAGCCTGTATTTCAAAATCCGAAAAAAATATGAAAACGAAGCACTTCCGATTCCAGGAATTTCGGATAAAGGATTCTCAAACTCTGTTATTATTACTATTATTATTATTTTTATTATTATTATTATTATTATTATTATTATTAGTAGTAGTAGTAGTAGTAGTAGTAGTAGTAGTAGTAATATTTTTTCAGATAATATCTTAATATCTGGCATTTAATGCATGCATATCAGGCCACAACCAACAGCAATCATGCAATTTTACTCTAAATGTTCATCCTTTTTCGGATTATTCGTGAAGAGGCTTCATTTCTGGAACAGTTCCACGAGGCAATCAATAACAATTTTCTTTATCCA